TGATGCAGAAAAAACTATAAAGCTATCAAAATATTCTGATAATTCTTATATTGGATACAATATTGATATTAAAAAATCAGGAGTCTGACTATATAAAACATTTACCTATTATCAGAAAATGGGAAAAAGACTTTATTCATCATAGGACAAAGGATAAATCTAATTACTTAAATATAACTAGAAATGTACAAGATGTATTTCAAGAAAACTTTAAAATGCTGAAGGACACGAATGAAAATGAACATATCAAAAGGTATAGCTTGGTCTTAGACTTGATATCAAAACAATGCTGAATCTATTAATCTATTATGTTACTAAAAATCCAACAAAATACAAATAAAATCTGGGGGGAGTGGTGACTAGGAGAGTGAATCCTAAGACTGAATGAGAATTAAACATGCAAGGAAAAACAGAAAAATATTTATTAACCAGTCTTACCAAAACAACATGGGACTGGCATGAGAAAAAATGGAACAATTAATGAAACAAAATAGATATTTTTATAACTAGGCTCAAATACAAATAAGATTAACATATAATAAAGGTGGCATTGCAGAAAAGTGGGAAAAACATTGATTATTCAATTCATGATCCTGGAACAATGCCATGTGTAATGGTTAATGTTATGTGTCAACTTGGCTAGGCTACGATTCTCAGTGGTTTGGCATGTGCTCTTCCATAATGTAATCACCTTCAATTTTGTGATCTGATGCCTGCAGCCAATTAGTCAAAAGGGGAGTTTCCTTGGGGGGCATGGTCTGCTCCAATATATAAATGGATGTTCTGGCAAAGCTCTCTCTTTCTCTCGATCCTGCACTCTTCCTGACCTCTAGTTCTTGGGATGTAAGTCTGCAGAAGTCTGCAGCCTGCCTCCTGACCTGAAGATGGATTTGCCAGCCCCAGAAACCCCATAAGCCAGGAGAGATCTCCAGCCTGATGTCGGACCCAAGGATTTGGGACTTGCCAGTCTCACAATTGCATGAGCCATTTCCTTGAAGTATATCTCTCTGTATGTATTTATATGTTTCACTGGTTTTGCTCTTCTAGAGAACCCAAACTAACACATCACAGCTATCTGGAAACACATATAGACACACACTCACACAAAGAGTTGGGCTCTGTCTTCGGCTGGGTTCTCTAGAGAAGAAAACCAGTGAAGTGTATATATATATATGTAGAGAAAGAGAAAAATTTGCATCAAGGAAATGGCTCACGTGGTTGTAGAGGCTGGAAAGTACCAAGTCCACGGGTCAGGCATCAGGATGGAGGCTTCTCCTGACTCATGTAGCTGCAAGGGGTTGATGAACCTAAGATCAGCAGGTCAAGACAGCAGGCTGCTGGCTCACGGGCTGCAGAGGCTGACTAATCCAAGATCAGCAGGCAGTATGGCAGGCCACTGGTTCAAGTCCCAAGAACTGGAGGTCAGATGATGACAAGCCTGATGCAGGATTCAGAGCAAGCAAATGAGCTTTGCCAGAACGTACATATATATATTGGATGCAGGCCACACTCCCAAGGGATCTCCCCTTGCAACTGCTTGGCTGATCACATTGGATCACATCATGGAGGATAACTACATCATTACAAAACTGTCAAATTACATCATTACATAACTGCCAAACTACACTACTACATAACTGCCAAAACACTGAGAATCATGGCCCAGCCAAGCTGACACACAACTTTCACCATCATAGATTCCTAACTTATTACTTATACAAAAATGTATTCTAGATGGATCAAAGGTTTAACAGTGTTGCTTATAAGAAAACAAGGTAAAATTGCTTTATAATTTTGGCATGGGAAAGTCCTCTCTAAAAATGACTATAAAACCCAGAAGCCATTGAACAGAGGCAATGAAAACAAAGTTTTTAAATCCCATATGGTTTAAAACACCATAAAAACATTAAAAAATAGAAAATTATGAGAAAATATTTGAAATACATATCATTTATAATTTCCTAATTTGAAACTAACTCCTAAAAATCTGTTAGAAAATACTTACCACAAAATAGGAAAATGGGCAAAGGCCAAATTTCAAAATTCAGATTATTTTTTCAACACATGGAAAGTTGCTGAGACTCACTCGTAATATAAGAAATGCATGTTAAAACTACAAGGAGTATATCTTTGTATACTTTTCTCCTATTGGATCAGAAAGAGTAAGGAAGTCTGATAATACACTGGTAGGTGAGGGCAAGAGAAACAGGCACTCTCATATATTACTATGGGAGTGCTATTAGGTAATATCTATTAATGATAAAATGCACACACCCTTTAACCCAGAAATTCATCCTTTGAAATTTACAGATAAAATTGTGCATGTGTGAAATAGACATATTCACTGTTGTGTGTGTCTAATTCCAAAAGGGTAGGAAAAAACACTAAATATCCATCGATAAGGACACTTAGGGTTGGATAAATAAAAGGAGATGGTTAAATAAATTTGTCAGTCCATAGAGTGGAATAATAAGGAGCAGTTACAAATAATGACGGAACACTTCATGTACTGATGCTGATTTAGAGTGATCTTTAAAGTATGTTGTTGTTGTTGTTAGGTGCTGTCCAATCGGTTCTGACTCACAGCGATTGTACGTACAACAGAATGAAACACTGCCCACCTCTGCGCAATCCTCACAATCGTTATGCTTGAGCTCATTGTTGCAGCCACTGTGTCAATTCATCTTGTTGAGGGTCTTCCATTTTTTCACTGACCTTCTACCTTACCAAGCATGTCCTTCTCCAGGGACTGGTTCCTCCTGATAACATGCCCAAAGTATGTGAGATGAAGTCTCACCATCCTCGCTTTTAAGGAGCATTCTGGCTGTATTTCTTCCAAGACAGATTTGTTCATTCTTTTGGCAGTCCATAGTATATTCAATATTCTTCGCCAACACCATAATTCAAAGGCATCAATTATTCTTCAGTCTTCCTTATCCATTGTCCAGTTTTTATATGCATATGAGGCAATTGAAAATACCATGGCTTGGGTCAGGCGCACCTTAGTCTTCAAGGTGACACCTTCGCTTTTTAGCACTTTAAAGAGGTCTTTTGCAGCAGATTTGCCCAATGCAATAATATGTCATTTGATTTCTTGACTGCTGCATCCATGGGCATTGTTTGTGTATCCATGTAAAATGAAATCCTTGACAACTTCAATCTTTTCTCCGTTTATCATGATGTTGCTTATTGGTCCAGTTGTGAGGATTTTTGTTTTCTTTATGTGTAATCAGTGCTGAAGGCTGTGGTCTTCGATCTTCATCAGTAAATGCTTCAGGTCCTTATCACTTTCAGCAAGCAAGTTTGTGTCATCTGCATATCATAGGTTGTTAATGAGTTTTCCACCAATCCTGATGCCACATTCTTCTTCATATAGTCCAGGTTCTCAGATTATTTGCTCAGCATATAGACTGAATAAGTACTGTGAAAGGATACAACTCTGACGCACACCTTTCCTGACTTTAAGCCACGCAGTATCCCCTTGTTCTGTTCAAATGACTGCCTCTGGGTCTATGGACAGGTTCCTCAGGAGCACAATCAAGTGTTCTGGAATTCCCATTCTTCACAATGTTATCCATAATAACATTTATTGCAATCATTTGTTATGATCCACACAGTCAAATGCCTTTGCACAGTCAATAAAACACAAGTAAATATTTTTCTGGTATTCTCTGCTCTTAGCCATGATCCATCTAACATTAGCAATGATAACCCTCATTCCACGTCCTATGTGAAACCAGTTTGAATTTGCGGCAATTTCCCGTTGATGTACTGCTGCAACTGCTTTTAAATGATCTTCAGTAAAATTTTACTTGTATTAAGTGAAAAAAAGGCAATGGTATCTTTCAGACGTTACTGCATCCATGTATTTATTCATAGATTTATATGATTGTTTTTGGGTGGATTCACAAGTAACTGATAAACCAGGGCTTCAAACCAGTTCATTCTGGTTTGAACCCCTATTGAGAATTTGCATTTCTAAGAGGTTCCCAGGCAATGCTAATGCTCCCAGTTGGGGACCAATTCTGAGAACCACTAGCAGAGCAGTGGTTCTCAAAATTTATTATACATAAGAATCACCTGGGGATCTTGTTAAAATGGAGATTCTGATTCAGTATATCTGGGGTAGAAATGCAAATTCTCAGCATGGGTTCAAATCAGAATGAACTGGTTCAAAGCTCCGTGATAGACGTGTGCATATTGGCAAGAATAACTGGCTGAAGACAAGAATGGAGTGAAAACTTTTCACCATATTCTATTTTAAATGTTCAGAATTTTGTATGTGCATGTACATAAAATTAAAATTATACATTCTTCAAACAAACATTAAACGGTTTATTGTTATAAAAAGTTTCAGACATTTCTAAGCAAACAAAACAATCATTTATCAAAGAAATGTGAAAGCACAACTCCTTATACAGATATATGTAGATACACATATATACATGTATGTACAAATAAATGTATATATGACATGTTTAGGAGATTTCTTCTTTGACTATAACTCAATAACAGAATTATCATATAACCTATATCTTGAAATGCTTTTTCCAGATTTATATTTTTTGAATTACTATGTATTGGTCATAGTGGGGAAATGGCATGATTTATTTCTAGATATTACTTTTGACACACAGATTTTAAGAGATGATTCTACAACTGTATATTGATTTTAAAAACCACTGTTTTAAATATTTTACAATCTTTTAAGTGAAGACAAAATTTAAGCCCGAATAATTTTTTTTTCTTAGTAGCTCACATAGGAATTACAGAATTCTAGAAACAATTTCTGAAAGAACAGGAAAAGTTAGCATATAAGATTGGGAAATAAATAAATTAGAAATCAGTCTCTAGTCCTAAAATACAATTTTTTTTAGTGTTATAGAGGATAAACATAATAACAACAAAAAGGGAAATGTTTTTTGAAAACAATCTTCTGATTTTCTTATTAGCATTTTTAACAGGAAATACTTTTTGATTTTTAATTTTGAGAAGCACTTTTATTTTTTTTCTACAGGGAGATTATGTCCTGACTCTATAGTAACTTTATTTAAAGCATTTTGGAAAAAGAGATTATCTTCTTTAAGCCAAGCTTCTAAGTAACTGTCAGTCTGTTCCAGATCACCTGTTGGACCACCCTGGAAAAGAGAAACAAGAATCATACCAGAGGAAGATGCTCCAAGGCTGACACCTGTAACCTGGGTGGCCTCCTTACAGTCTTCCCTATGATTCATGTAGCAATAAAAGCCACCTTGCGTTTGAATAATGCTCTTCACCTTTCAAAATGTTTTTGCATTTCATCTCATTTCATGCTCACAAGTGGTTAGGCTCTTTGATCATTTTTTCTTCTTCAGTGTAGATTACTTCAGTGTTTTTTTTTTTTTCTTTTCCCTTCTTTATAATTACTTGTCATATTCCCAAAACCAACCTTCCCCCACCCATCTCATCCTTTTCTGTAATAGGCTCTCATCTCCTATTTTTTAACAGATCTGTAGGACAATTTGGCTTCTCTGTTTCTCCTCTTTCCACGTAAGCATCTTTCCTCCCAGCCTTTGGCTTGCTGCTCTCATCTGTATCCTTTTCTCCGTCCTCGCCTTCTCCTTTCCCCTAGCTCCCTACTGGGGTAATTTCATACTCTCCTTCTTTGGGCTTCCTGATCCATGGAATGGCTGGACATATGCTTCCTCTTTACCGATCTAAATCTCACTCCTTCAGACCCACCCATGGGGCGAACTAGCTCTCCAACTAAGCTGATGGGTAAGATAATTTTTATGAAGAACTTTCCAGAAACAATCATGCCTTTACTTTGTTTCCAATAAATGTCCTGCAATACTGTCCTAGTCTCTCTGCCTGTGATGGTTAATTTTATGTGTCAATGTGCCTAGGCTATGGTTCCCAGTGGTTTTGCCAAACACTAGACTAGGTGCTGTTCCATAATTTAACCTAATGCAATGTAATCACTTGCCATAATGTAAGGTAATCAATAAATCCTCTCAAAGAGGAGTGCCTTAGAATGTGATCTGTCTTCATAATATAAATATTGTCAAAACTTGCTGTCACTTGACTCTGCACTCTTCTCATCAGCTGACCTACAGATCTTGGACTCAAGCCTGCAGAGTCTCTAGCCTGCCACTGGACCTACAGATTTTGGACCTTCCAGCCCCACAACTGTATGAGCCAATCTCTTGAAGTAAATCAATTTCTCCCCCTTCCGCTCCCATCCCTCTGTCTATATATATGCCTCAATTGTCCTGTTTCTCTAGAGAACCCTGGCAAAGACACCATCTCTTAATGTAAAAAACTAACAAACCGTGTTGCCATCAAGTTGATTCTGACTCATGGTCACCCTACAGGACAGAGTAGAACTGCCCCATAGCATTTCCAAGGACTGGCTGGTGGATTTGAACTGTTGACCTTTTAGGTTAGCAGCCAAACTCTTAACCACTGTGCCACCAGGGCTCCATCCTTGATCTAGTTCCATTAAATGTGTTTCTTGTTTCATCCCTTAGCCTTGGATTTTGCTCTTGTTAGTTTTCTAACAGGGCTGAAGTCTGGCACTGAGTCCCAGCTGTGTGGTGGGGCCCTGTTCCTGCAGTCAGGTTCCTAAGGTTAATATCATCCTGGATTTCCTAATGTTCACTGACAATGACAAATACCCTGTGGGAGCCTTCCTGGCCCCGACTACTTCTCAATCCATTTGGTAGAATCTAATGCTTTGGCTATTGCTCTCTGCCTGCCAGACTAGACCTCCTCCTAGGACTTAATTAAGGTTGGTTCCATCCCCAGTTTCTTCAAGAGCCTGTCCCACCCCATCTGCCTCTGGCCCACCTCATTGCACTTCTCTCTTCTCTTCCACTACAGTTACTCTGGCAATCAGGGACAGTAAACATGGACATTGTAGGCCATGGTGAGAGTAATGTGTTTGAGTACCTCTTCAATGATACTAGGTAAAGATACTAATATACTCAAATGATACTAGATACTCTGCTGACTAAAGCTCTTCATCTCCCTACCAAACTTTGTGAACAAAGCAAATTAAATTAGTAAAATTACCCTGGCTACCCTGGAAGACCCAGGAGTTTTGCAGAGAAAGAATAGTAAATTATTATTACTTCATTTTTTTCCCTAGCCATACATAGATCTGCTGTAATGAGAGTCAATACTTTCTATGATCTTTCTTGATAGTCAGACAGCAGTATTTGATTTCTGTGGCCTGGAATTTCTTTGGCCTGCTTTGTCTTTCTTGTTGGTGAATCAATCTTCACTGCAAGCCACCGAAGTGCCAGGCTCCACAGCAGATCTCACACACAAACCACTTGCCATCCTTCACAGCTCAAGAACCCGAAAGAGCACCACTCAACACCACTCTTAGAGCAACAAAGATGCTGCAAGAACTGGCTAAAATAGCAGGTTGACAGACGCACAAATAAAATTACCATTATATGAAAACACTTGGCATTAACTATCCTTTTTTATTTTAATACACGTAACATTTTAATTGTTGCCTAGACCACCAAAAGGGGGTGGTTTCTCTTTTGGCTATATACTCAAATTAAGCAAAAAATATATATATGTATATTTTGTGTGTGTGTGTGTGTGTTTCATTTTGCACTTAATGTAAAAGAAATTTCAGATAAATCAAAAGACATTGTATGTATTTTGAAGGGTCAGTGGTCTTCCACCTGGAAATGTTCACAGCCAGGACTGAAAGCCAGGCAGTGAGGCTTCAAAGGCCATGCTCATCACGCATTACAGTGGCATATGGCTTATAGTGAGTTTCCCTTCATGGGCACAGCGATCGCCTAAGTTAGGATTTCTGCAGGGGACCCAGATCCTGCCCTTCCAGTCTGCATGACCCAGGAAGGCCGTGTCTCCTGTACCTCCCTGGAAGGTTGATAAAACCATATTCCAGATCGCAGGGCCTATATACGTGTCCAAAATGCCACATGCTTGCTACACTCCATGTTCTGGCTTGATTTCTCAATTTATTTCTAGCATACACAGAAAGACTTTTTAAATTTGTCTCTCTCTCTATATATATGTAATTTTTGTTATATTTTATCCAAAATTTCTATATTTCTATGTGCTGTAGCAGAAGACAGGCCCTTCCTCATGAGCTCAATCTTTCATAGAAACTCAATCTTTGTGCATTAAAGTATACAAACAAAACTGGCAATAATCCACACTTACAGGATTTTTCCTGGCCTCTCCAACCAATCCTCTATTTTTATTATTTTTATTTATGTATTAGTATAAAAGTAAATTAAAATATCTTGCTGTCTGCAAAAAATTAGAAAAAAAACTTCCTACTGGAAACAAGCTATTTGAAGAGATACTGATGATAATTATCATCCCTGGTGACACAGTGGTTAAGAGCTACAGCTGCTAACCAGAAGCTCAGCAGTTGGAATCCACTAGCTGCTCCTTGGAAACCCTACAGGGCAGTTCTACTCTGTCCTATCAGGTCGCTATGAGTCGGAGTTGGCTTGATAACAATGGTTTTGGTTTTTTGGTTTATAGCACACAAGGAAAGATTCCAACATTTAAGGGAGAAAGAAGAAATATTTTTAAGATGTTATTTTATACACTTTCCAAGTTCATTTATTTTATGATTCTTACAAGGAAAGTCAGGGTTAGGTTAAGTGACTTATCCAAGGTCAGTAAGTGAATGATGATGTTAGGAGTAGAAGCCAGTCAGCGCTTTCCATAAGGTACATTCCTACTACTCAAATACAATTTCATCACTCACCAGCTGAAGTTTCCACAGCAATCTTGTCAGTTTTACACGGAGAGTCTTCAGTTTCACTTCAGTGAGTTTTCTTTTTTCTTCACATTGCCGCAGAGAGACTCCACTCATCTCTTCTCTTCTAGTTGCATCAGAGACAATGGACTGCATTTTTCTCTTCAGTCTTTTCTCATATTGGACCATGTACACATTCTGGATCTGAGAACATTTTAAAAGTAGTTTTAGTAGATTTCTAAATATTGCTTTTCTCCCCTAATATCACAAAACAATTTCATTTTCCAATTCTGCACATATGTCCCAAGTGACAACTCTGTATGTTAGTGCTACAGAGAGTATAAATTTAAGACATTTTGATACCTGTAAGGAAATTACAATCTAATGGGGGTGGGGGAATAGGAGAGAGGAGGAAAAATGTGCAATATTCCAGTAACTATAATAATAAGGCAGGCTTGGAGACCTTTCCTTTGGAATGAAGAAAGAACCCAGTAAAGGCTGAATCTGTACTCCCCAGTGATGCCAGATTAGCCAAAGTCCAAAGGAGGCTGGCACCCGTGGTCCTCTCCACAGCACCTGTAACTCACGGGCAACCACAGCCACTCTGGCTGTTCTGGCAGATGGTGTAGTGTTACTTATAGCTCAAGTCTGAGGTGTCTGGAAAGCACAAAATCTACAGTAAGAGGAATTCCTGTTCCTGTAACTCTCTTCAGGTTCCTCAACCTGAGGTAAAGAAGCCAGACAGTTCTGCATACGATCCTTGCTAATTTGAGTCCTGGTTGTGTTCCAAGAGCTTACGCTGTGCCTGAGGCACTCACAAAGTAGAAACAGGTAATGGAGAGGCCAAACGCATTCATCTCAAAATAACATTAATTTCTTGTATCCACATTTCTAGAGGATCAGGGGATACTCTAAGGAAAGAGATGCAGGGCAAATACCATAGGGATAAACATTTGAATGTTTATGTCATAAGCAGATGTCTGTGTTCTAATATGACTAAGTCCCAGGAAACTTGTAAGGTGGCGTCACTCATCTGCTAGGCCTACCCTACCCCTTCGGCACCCGCCCCTACTCGTCAACAACTCCAGGCCCTTCCGAGACACTGCTCGTATCATCCACTCAGGCACACATTAACCTCTTGGATTCCTCCTCTTTCTATAAAACCCTTTAAATAAACAAAAAATTCTATACATAGCTCTGTTTAATAAACATTCACTAAGTACGACTTAAATTCAAAGCACTGAATTTAATTACAGGTGAGACAAAGCTCAGGTATGGTCTTTGCCTTCAAGGAGTTCTAGTCTAACAGAAGGACATAACCCAAGTGTGAAAATATTATACCTTATTGGATAAAACTCTTTGTGTCCCCAAGCAAGGCACAAGTATCATGAGAGTTTAGAGAAGGGTATGGATTCGCCATTAAAATAAACAGCATTATTGCCTTGAATCATGGTAGTTGACTTGAATATATTTATGCTTTCAGTTTACTTTTAATAGAGAGGAATATTTGAGATTGGGGCCCAAAGAGCACACCACAGTGGCAACCATTGACCCTATGTACGTAATTAATATAGTCTGTTAAAAGTGAGGCTAATTGTGAGGTTTGTAGCTGGCCATGCAAAGAAATTTTAGACTTTTAGAGTCTTAAAGTGCCTGGTAGCGTGTGTGAGGCACTAGGAATCAGACTCTGAAACCCTTGACCTGGCTTTGCCTATTTCTTACTTTTTCTCCTAAATTTTAAGCCTCATTCTACTCTAGCTACACCAGCTAGCTTGCTGTTCTTCCAGGAATATATCGAGCTCAATCCTGGCTCAGGCCCTCCGCTGTTGCTGTTTTTTGTTTGGTAAGCCCTGCCCCAGATCTGCACAAGGCTCACTCCTTGCCTTAGGTCTGTGTTGAAAGGTAACCTCCTCAGATATTCCAGGTCCACCTTATCTGAAATAGCCCTCTCTCCTTCCCCAACACACATCATCACGTCTATCCCCTGGCCGTGCACAATTATTTAATGGTGCATGTCATTATATATTTATCTATGTGTTTATTATATATCATTATGTAAAACATCATTTTTTTGGAGTGGCATCCCCCAGGGCCTGCAGGTAGAGTGGAGTAAACAACTCAGCTGGAATAAAGGCAGGCTCACAGACAGTTTAGATGCCACCTGCCACACACAGTTCATCATTTTCAGAACACTAGAATTTAACAACTTTTGTCATCTTGAACAAAAATAGCCAGGAAACACTTCAAACAACAGAAACAAAACACAAACCAAAGATGTGACATGAATGGACATATGCACACTTTTATGTTCATAACAGCATTATTCACAATTGCAAAAAAATGGAAACAGCCGAAGTGCCCTTCAGCGGATGAATGGAGAAGCAAAATGTGGTATATACATACAGTGGAATACTATGCAACCATAAAGAACAATAGTGAGTTTGTGAAACATTATAACATGGACGGATCTAGAGGACGTAATGTTGAGTGAAATAAATCAATCACACAAGGACAAAATTTTATGATCCCACTTTTATAAGAAGACAAGAATAGATATATATGGATAGAGACCAATGTTCATTGGTGGTTACCAGGGATGGGGGGAGGGGGAATCACTCTCTAGATCATAGATACTTGTTTTTTTTGGTGATGGGAAAAGTAGCACAGAATGTGGGTGTAATGAGCACAGCCTGACCAAAGTAAACGATGCCACTGAGAAGTGCACAAGAGAAAAGGATGTCTGTGCTAAAGAATAAGACATATGTAATTTGGTAAAAACACCAACAATAACCAAAAAACGAGTGTATGGTCACATATGTAGTTGTACAGGTGAGTACATATGTATGCACTGATAGAAGTATCTATATGTACATGTACACACAGATACATGTGTGCATGCATATATATTCATAAAGGACACAGATACAGATACTTCTCAGACATATCCAAACATCTTAGAAGAATGGTTTTCTGTGTTTGAAGGCTTACGAACTTAGTCTCATGGAACAACTCAGTCAATTGGCATCATAAAGTTCATGTTCTGCATCCTAGTGAGGTACGTAGCTTGTGGGGTCTTAAAAGATTGAGAGCAGCCATCTAAGATACAACTCTTGGTCTCTACTCATTAGGAGCAAAAGAGAGAGAAGTCTCAGAGAAGAAACTGTTCTGCAGGGCTATCATGGATTGAACTGTGTCCCTCAAAAGTATCTGTCAACTTGGCTAGGCCATGATTCCCAGTACTGTGTAACTGTCCACCATTTTGTCATCTGATGTGATTTTCCTATGTGTTGTAAATCCTATCTCTATGACGTCAGGATGGGATTAGTAGCAGTTATGTTAATGAGGCAGGACTCAATCTACAAGATTAGATTGTGTTTTAAGCCGATCTCTTTTGAGATATAAAAGAGATAAGTGAGTAGAGAGACATGGGGACCTCATACCACCAAGAGAGAAGTGCCAGAAGAAGCACATCCTTTGGACCTGGGGTCCCTGTGCTGAGAAGCTCCTAGTCCAGGGGAAGATTGATGACAAGGACCTTCCTCCCCAGCCAACAGAGAGAGAAAGCTTTCCCCTGGAGCTGACACCCTGAATTTGGACTTCTAGCTTACTTGACTGTGAGAAAATAAATTTGTTTGTTGAAGCCATCCATCTGTGGTATTTCTGTTATAGCAGCACTAGATAATGAAGACAAGGGCTAAGAGCCTACATGAGCCACGGCCTCATCTACCCTGAGACCAGAAGAACTAGCTGGTGCCTGGCTACCACTACTGACCATTCTGGTCAAGGCCACAATAGATAGACCATGACAGAATGGAAAAAAAATGCAGAACAGAACTCAAATTTTAAAAAGTCCAGATTTACTGGACCAGTAGAGACTAGAGGACTCCCTGAACTACTGTCCTGAGATACTCTTTAAACATTGAACTGAAACTATCCCGAGGTCACATTTTAGTGAAATAACAGATTGGCACATAAAATAAAGGATATTATTCATGAGTACATTGATCCATTAAAAAGTCATCTATATGAGACCAAAAGGTCAACAATTACTCTAAAGCAAAGATGAGACGATAAGGAGGCAGGGAAATTAGAATACTGGAAATGCAACAGCCAGAACACAATTAAAGAGAATATTGACACATTGTGAAAAATGTAACTAATGTTGCTGAACAATTTGTGTAGAAATTATCAAACGGGAACCTAATCTGCTGTGTGAACTTTCACCAAAAACACAATAAAATATTATTAAAAAATAAATAAATTTTTGTATAACCGCCCCAAAAAACCACACACACATACAAACCAAACAAAATCAAATAAAAAAAGAGATATAAATATTAAAAACAACATTGTTTGGGAAAACAACAGTATTGCTCATCAGCAATAACACTATTGATACACTTGGATGATGTTACAGATACTATGTGGAGAGAAAAAAGGCAATCGCAAAAGGACACATATTGTATGATTCAATTTATGTAACATTCTTGAAATGACAAAATTGTGGAGATGGAATACAGATTAGTGGTTTCCAGGGGTTAGGGGTAGTGGGTAGAGGTAGGTCTGACCCTAAAGGGGCGGCACAAGGGAGATCCTTGTGGTGATGGGAGTTCTGTGTCTTGATTTCAGTGGTAGTGTACAAATCTACACATGTGATAAAATGACATAGAACTCTATTTTACCAACTTAAATTTCCTGGTTTTGATACTGTACTATAATGAGATAAAATGTAAACATGGGGGAAATTGGGTGATTGGTACATGGAAATTCTCTGCAATATTTTTGCAACTACTGGTGAATATATAACTGTTTCAAACCAAAAAGTTAAAAAAAAACCAACATTGTTAAAACAGTATTACATTAAGAATCTTTACACAGCTCATTACATTCAAAGCCATATTCAGTCTCTCAAAGTTCAGCATTTTCTAACCAACAAGCTATATTTCCTTTGAGCGCTATCTGCCAATTTCCTGATTTATTCTTCAGCTTTTCTCAGGGTAACATCTTCAGGAGGTTTCTATAAAAAGGAGCTATTTTGAAATTTCAAAACTCAATGAAAAAGGACTTATGCTTGTATTAACATTTTAATTAAGGTGAATAGAGAATTGTACCAAGATGAGAGGCTTAGTTCTGCTGGTTAAACCTACTCTTGTAGAGGTATCTGTGGCAGATCAAAAATGGAATTCTTCCCAAACTCCATTAATTGAGAAGGGAATTAGGATACGAAAGAGGATAGTCAACTGAGATTTTAATTTTCTGCTTTGAATACAAAGTCAGTGACTAGCAGCTTTGGAGCTTCAGAATCCTAACAACTTTGCAGCAAGTAGGGAAGGCCTACAAGAGCTATAGATTTTGTACCATATAAACAGAGGTGTGCATGAGAGTGTTTATGTGGGCGGAAGTATAACGGAAACAATGAATTTTGATTTAATGCACGCATATTAAGATCCAGATGCATTCAAAGGCACTGACTGAATGCTACTGGAATGCAAAGATTGATAAAAGAGTATTCCTAACCTTAAAAATATTATAATCTAGAGAGAAAATAAAATACAAGAAACCACTAAAACACAAAGCAGAAAATTTAATGCTAAAATAGAGTTTTAATGTTTTCTCAGGACACAGATAGGTCAAGATTAATTTCACATTGAGAGACTGAGGAAGGCTTCATGTAGAAGACAGCATTTCCCAGGCTCTAAATAGGTTGGGCAGGATTTCAAAAGGCCAACTCTAGACTAGGGAAGTGGATAAAAGTGTTCTAAGGGACAGCGTGGGCAAAGGACAGCATGAGATGCATGCACACCTAGGTGGGTTTGAACAATGCTGGGAGGTTCATTTTGGGTAGAACAGATGGCTTGTTAGAAGAAAGAATAAAAGATGGTGGTTGGGGTCAGCAGGGCCACCAATGCTGTCATGAATCATCTTGATATTATTATATAATAGTAGTTATGAAAGCCACTGCTGCATTCAGAGTGAAATGAGAGGACGAAATAAGTCTGCAACTTACCTAGGGCCCTCCTGTGCTTTGCCGTGGCTCTCATTACTAAAGGTACACACCTTACAGCAAGTTGCATAGACTTGTCTTCTAAATGGATTTCAAGAAAAGATCTGAACAGTTTTTACAGCTATCTGCCTAAAGCTGCCAATAATTCAGAAAGTTCTTAAGACCAAGGTAGTCTCTCTGTTAGGGGGAGTCATGACTCAAATTGCTCCATGTCTTGCTGCAGCATCTCAGTTCCAACAGGAACTCATGATCTCTTGACTCTTTACCTTGCTTTCATTCTTTGAATACCACTTGCCCTGAACATTAGGAGATTCTACTCATTATCTATGCTTACAATTTTTACCCTGAATAAACATTTATTTTATTCAGTCTGGCCTCCAAGACCCAACAACCTGGCTCCATTACAGAAGGTGTAGACATTGAAAACAATATCATTTTTAAAAGTTCATGAAAGGACATATATGAGTTTGGACAAACAGAGATGTGTGTCAATTTAATTCTTAGCAAATTTCTAAGTTGTATAATATAAGCATTTGAACCAAGTTTCCCTAATCAGTAGATGAAGAGCTATAGGGAGATCCAGAAGCCTTAATGGTAGTTCTTCAAGCCAGCTCCCACAGACTTTCAGTGGGATAATTTCTGGTGGGACAGTAAGCAAACCCAGAGTAGATCCCACCTACCACAAACACCCCACACACAAAGATTTCACTATCATCATCTCCCCCACATACTTCTCATCAAGTAATCTCAAGCTCTCTAACAGGCTGGTTTAGAAGTCTGGATAAGAATAATATGAAAGAAAGTGGTGTAGTGGAAAGGGCTTTAATCTGGGTTTTGATCCTGGATCTGCTGCTTTCTTGCAGCATGTCACTGGTATATAGCTTCCCTGAATCTCCATTTCCTCATGACTGAAGTGGACTTGGTGACACCTACCTCTTCAAGTTGTTGTGAGGGTTAAAATGTGGTAACCCTCACTAGTGCCTGGCTCCAGTGGTTCTTGAACAATGACAGCTTTACATTAATTGATGAAAATGATATTAATGCTAGAAAAAGGTCAAAATATATTGAAAGTAAACTTGTCTTTCATTGTAGTTAGTAAATGTTGACAGGTAAGTCTTCAAGCTGAAACTGTTCAATGACTACTTTTTCAACTAAACACTATTGAGAAATAAGTTCACTTTTCAGCTGAATAGTGATGGAAAACTAAGAAATATACCGTCCCTTCATTTCCAGTTGTTTATCATAGTTCAGTAGGCATGTAGTCATAAACATCTGAGGCAAACATAACAACAAATGTTGTTAAATTCAGGTACATCCTAAAATTTGAATACTGTGATACAACCTTTGTAAAAACCTGGTTTATGTTCTTGTTTTCACTTCATGTTTGCCTAGTGATAGGTCTTTGGGAATTTACTTTACCATTCTATTTCAACTATAAAACAAAGATATACTCTGTTACAAACAAGAGTACAACACCAGGGGGCACCATTCACTTCCTATTTATTACAGATTTGTATGCTACTGTACAATTTTCAAGCAGATGGCTACAAGGTTCTTGAAGAAGATGCTAGTGTATATGGTAGTGGTGGAGTTGGCACAAGTTTGAGAAAATACAGGTAAAGTGTTAACAAAGACCTAACATCTCAGTATGGATTCTGGTACCATGAAAAGTTCTAGGGTGTTGTGACCTCTATGATGAGTCCAGAAACCTCAGTGGCCACCCTGACTGTAACGCTAATTCCCTGTGTCAACTTGACCAAGTCCACATTTGCAGCCTCATTTCCCTTGAGGGGAATTAGAACCTTGAGAACATAAAACATTTTGAGATATTTCTCCAGTAGAACTACAGGCCATTATGAGCTCTTCTTTTTTCAGGAAATCTTGAGAAACTAGGTACACAGTATAATTTAAAGACTATAAAGAAAAAAAAAATTATGTAGAGAGAGACAGAGGGAAAAAAAGTTGTAATAAAATACACTAAAGTACTAATAGTAGTGATCTTGGAATAGTCTGGGACTATAGATGAATTTGAATTTCTTTTACTTTCTTGTATTGGCATCAATTACTTTTATAATGGAAAATTCATGAACTTAAAAAACTGTTGATAGCATACTAAAAAACAATCCAGACAGTTATCAAATTTTCTGAAGCAATTCACAACTTAATCTACAAATGATTTCTGGTTTAGTCCAATATTGCAAGGATTCAGTAAATCTAATTTTTAAAGACTTAGAATGTCATGTTTCTTGTTCAAAATATAGTCTTATTGCAGGTGCTTCATATGCTTTATTCTATAGTGACATCTGTATTTTAAAATTCAAAAAGATGTTTTATGACACTTGGTATGTTACACATTAATCTAAGTCTTGATAAGTGAATGAGAATTTGATTTCTTTTCAAACCTAACGTTTGGCAATGTACATTATTTCTTCTTTGGAACACAGGATCATTTAGAGTATAAATGACTACACTGAAAGGAAGCTTACCTGGTTGAAACACATTTTCAGCTTTTTGTTTGTCTGCTCTGGGCATTGCTCCAGCTGTATTCGTAAATGATAATAGATCAGGACATTAACTTTTAGAGAATGAGCTGTCTGTAACAGTTATAACATTCAAGTATCTAGTATAAAAAAGCATCAACAGCCTAGAAGCAGTCAACATTAGTACAGTGGATCTTTTAAGCCTGGGTCTACTTAAATTAATTAACTAAATTATACATCTCCTCATGCCAAAAAGGATTAAGGCAGCTTAACTAAATACAACATAGCTAATAAAATTCTAAAGATGAAAAAAAATCAAGGTAAAAAAATTAAATGGCAAAATATTAAACATTCAAGGGTAGATGTCAAGAAGGCAATTTGGGTCTGGATTTCTGGGAAGGCAATGCTAGAGAAACAGACTGGGGAGTTGCTGGCATATGGGATAGTGTTTAAAGCCACAGGCTAGAGAAGATCACCTATAAACAGCATTTAACGGAGAGAAGAAAGTGGTTCTGGAAAGAGCTCTCAGACCAGCCAACATTTAGAAGCCAAATGGAGAAGGAGATTTCAGCAAAGAAGGTGAGCAAAGAGTAGACAGGGAGGGAAGCAAAACAATGAGAAGAGGGTGGTATCAAGGAAATCATGCAAAGAAAGTGCTTCAAGAAGGGGAAAGTGGTCAACAGGCTGAAGGTTTCTGAGAGGTCGAGGAAGGTAAGAAGTGACTACTGAATTTGTCAGCATCAAGGTGACCAGTGATCCTGACAACAGCAGCCCCAGTTAACTATTAACAATGATTATGGATTAGAAAATTAAGGATTTTGCTCAGGGTCAGACTGAGGCACATGGTGCCTCTATCTAATTAATAATTGGATTCTGTTTTCAGTGATAGTCTTTCCATGGTCATCCGTCATTCTCATAGATGACAGCACAGAGGTAGCAAAGGAGCCCACCTGTCGCAGCACTGGGCTCTTCTCCTCTGCTGTGAGCAGTGGGCCTTCGCCACAGGCCTGCATGCCTCACTCAGCGGGTGCTCGGGGCACCTCACATGGCTGTCCCATCCACTCCTCCCCTCAGCTCCTTATGACTAAGGCAGTATACCTAGTGAACAGAAAGTCTATTTCTGGTAGGGGGAAATAAGTCAGGAACTATATTGTTTCTTCTGATCTTTGCAACTGACTTTTGTCAGTCCATAAGATCTTCTCCAACCACATTTAACCCCTGGTCACAATGGTATCGAATGCAGCTTCAATTCCGAGTTATCCGATTGGTATAAAGATTCCCATTTTCATTCACTTAAGCCATTCTAGGTGCTCTTAATGATGCACTTTACATTTTTGCTTCACCAAAATGAGCTATTAGCTCATTCCCTTAGAGTCCAAAATAAGTCAACTTACCTCAGAACTCGCTACAGGTTCCTCCACATACACATAATCAAATTCTGATGGTAGCTGATACTCAGGGAAAAAAAAAAGAAGAATCTCCCTAGGAATATAAGCACAGCAGAACTGGGAGCACACCAAGAAGGCAGACATAGCAGTGACCTGTTAGAACTGGTGCCATCCCCTGGGGATGAACAATTGTGCCCCTTAAATATTTTGTTTTTACCATTGGCATTTAAGTGTTCTTCAGAAAGCAGAGATGGGAGGGAGGGGAGTGTGGCCACAAGAGCGCAATAGGAGGGATCCTGGTGGTGACAAAACTATTCTGTAGCTAACAACAAGAATCTTCTAGAGCTGCATGTCCTGACCACAGTGCCCATCTAAGGTAGTTTCCTATAGAACCCATTCCATATCATAAAGTGTGAACTGGAAGTTTGTAGTGTTCAATTAGATTAGCTAAAAACTAAGTAAGCACTGTGTCTATAAATGATGGCGAATTTTTGCATTGTTCCAGCTAAGGGCAAAAAGTTCCTTTTTACTCTATAATTTTTCACTGAGAACAATCTCTTTCTCCAATTAACATAACTCCACTGGTTCTAAACAAGGGCTGGGTCACACAGAGGCACCTGGACATCCAGCTATTCTGTTTAAACAGGAACATAGTGAGCTAGCTTAGGAGTGGCTGAAGAGAAGAGCAAGTCTCTTACTCTAGGTAAATTAAACTTTCTTTTTCAACACAGTGAAAAAGAAAGCCCAGGATGAAATGGAAATGCCATGACCCTGCTAAAACCAGGAACTGGTTTGATTTCAACTGCTAGTTTATTTTGGTGGACTTTCCTGTTGCATCAGCAACTGGCAACAACCTGCAAAAAGTGACTTTCTTTTTAAAATTTACTTTTGGCATTTTTTAAATTTAAGATAACACAAAGCACCTGTTGACTTCTGTAGGGTTGAAATAAATGTTGCCTGCTTTATTATGAAGCTTACACATACAATAATACTCTGGATATAAAAGGTTAAGAGCTTAGACTGTGAGGTCACACTGATAGGATTCAAACCCCAATTCTACCGCTGAGAGTTATATACTGCTAGGCAAACTACTTAACCACTTTGTGCCTCCGTTTTCTCACCTGTAAAATGGGGATAATAAAGTATCTACTTACAGGATTACTGTACGGCTTATGTGAGTTAATACATGCAAAGTCCTAGGACAGTGCCTGGCACAGAGTAAGTGCATAGTAAATACCTATTATTATTACTAAACATGATTTAAAATTTGATACCACTCCAATACATGGACTATCTGAACAAGTTTAACAGTCTGGATCCAGGTTTAGATTATTTATTTCTAACTTACACAACTCAGTCTCATCCCATTATTTGAAAATATAACAACCAGCAATACTACTCAGTACTTTTTATATTAACCCTTTCAATTTAGTTACAAGTATTCTTTGAACATCTACTAATATATGTTACACATGGTGTGGAAAGTCCCAGCTATTTACAAAAAAGTTACTGTATTTGGGTGTTAAACTAATACACAAAATTAAAAAAAAAAATTTATACAACAGGAATATACTAAGCTAAGCATAATCAGGTGGTGAAAATGGACAGTTAAAAACTATCATTTTTTTAATTTATTCAGTTAGGTTAATTAAACAGAGGTGTCTAACCCTACTGTGGCAATGTAAAAAGGGATAAGGATTATGTAATATTCAAAGTGAACCAACTGGAGGGAAAAATCTACACATTTAAAGGATCTTTAACTAATCTCTCTATCATGCGATGACCAAGGGAAACACGGTGAACAATTCTGAGTGTAAGGAACACTGTGCTCTCCACATTATACACAGCAAGCCACAGTCTATGCCTTGAAGTTATTATAGTCTAGTTAACACAAGGAATAACATCTGGAACACATACAGTAGTGCAGTGTGGGAAAAAAAAAAGAAAGACAAGCAATCTGTTTTCACCGGTGAAACATGAGCAAACATACTACATGCTACTGAAGGCAAAAGAGAAAACTGGTAAAATGAGGATCTCATTTTGTTCCAGTTAAAACCTTGTGTTCTATACAATTCTTTTTCCACTGAATATTTTTTTAATAAAACAATCACTGCAGAAAATTCAAGGTGGTACAGAAAAGAGCTGATTTATTAACACATTTGGATTTCAGAGTTGATGACAGCATGGTGATTTCAAGCACTAAAGGTGCTACATGTTTATGAGGAAGATGGTTTGTGAGAAATTGTAATCTTCCTTTGATGCCTCATTATAGAAGTGGATGTGCTGTCAAGTCTTAGTACTCTCAAACAGATGATCCCTTTCCTGATGACATGTAACTCATTAATATTAACAGAAATGTTACATTTAGATACAGAACAAAAATGAGCCATATAAAAATAAGAAAAATGATGAATTTGTAAAAGAAAGTTTACGTAACTGGGAAAGACTAGTAAATTCTGTACAGCACCTAGACAGGTGTCTCCAGGCCTCATCAGTGCTGAAAAGAAGGAAACACTTAAATCCAGTGCCAGCCTTCGTAGCTGTGAAATTTCTGCGTGACTTAGAGTGTACAACTTAGTGTCTCCAAGTTTCAGTTTCCTCATCCATAAAGTAAAGATAAAAATAATACCAATCTCATAAGTTTGTGGGAGTAAGGAAATAATGTATACAAAGCATTTGGAAGAATGCTTCAATTTTAAGAAAGAATCAAAAATGATAGCTATAATTATCAAGAAGGCCTGATTCACTTGTAGCAATGTCCCAGTCATTGGAAACACAGGCTTAGTCATGATATCTGTACATTTTTAATGATGTTCACACATTTATTCAGATATATACAGATATATATTCAGATATATACAGGCATCAGGTAACCAGTTGCAATCCCATGCGTGTCAGAGTAGAACTGTGCTCCATAGGGTCTTCAGTGGCTGATTTTTTCATAAGTAGATTCCCAGGCCTTTCTTCTGAGGTGTATCTGGGTGGACTTGAATTTCCAACCTTCTGGTTATCAGCCGAGCACGTTACATGTTTGAATCACCCAGGGACATTATACATAGGCAGGTGCACGCATAACTTACTACACACTGCCATGCCTCAGTGACTTGCCGGAATCACAGAACTAGTAAGTAATACACCAGGATTCAAATTTAAGTCCATCCAACTTTAAAGCTGATGACTTTAAATACTACTTCTGCACAAATACTGACAGAGGGTAAGAAACTAGTTGGAGAATCCCATTCTTCAGGGACAACCATCCAGATCACTGAACAAGCAGCCTTCTTCAACCTCGTGACATCTATACAACACTGAGGTCTAGGCTGCCTCTATCTCATTATGGCCCGCCAACCCTAGCACTATGACAGATTTAGTGGTCAGAGTTTTGTGTTCTGGAGTCCACCTTCGCTTTTCAGTCTATGACTTATTTCTGGATCCTTAGTATCACTAGGAAAAATAGGTTCTGATGCAAAGTTCAAGGTGGGTCCACCTGCATACAACCGAGAGCACTTCCTCCTTTCTGGGGGTGTGGGTGGGGGAGACTCAGGTGGGGCCTCCATGCCCCAGGAAGCACAGCCCCTACAGCCCTGGGGGCTGCCACACAGGCTTCTCCAAAACTCAGGGCAGCTGTGGACAGGGGTCATGTCTCACAGTGGTTGGTAGCCTCCTTTCACAAACAGAACCAAAGCCTGGGGCATGAGTGGAGGCTGCAGGCCCCTGTACACATCTTTCATCTCCACCATCAACTTGCCAACTCTCTTCCTCAGGAATGTTTTGTTCATCACTGTCCTAAGGGAAAATACTCTCTAGCTAGGCCATGCTCTGTGTTCTCTGGCTCCAAGCCTCACCCTATGCAGCCTCCTTATAGTCTCCAAGTCCTCACAAGACAGACTGGCTGCACTAGCTTAGTGGTGCTACTGTTTGATCTCCTGATATGACACTTATTTCAGAAAGCTCTTCTGTAGGATCTCAAAGTACCCTATTATTGGTCCTATTTGGAAAGACTCTGAATCCTGGACTTTGTTTCTCACCTGTATCCATCCTTTGAGAACGGGGCCCAAGGTACCTAAATTCCTAAAACAACCATACCCACAAAGGTTAATCTTCTACACTGAACAAAAGAGTAAAACTCATTTTCCCTCAATAAGTTCAGTATCTAAAACTACAAAAAGACTTTTTAAAAGGCCATACAAATGTCATAAGAGTCTTTGTGAGGCAAAAAAAAAAAGTAACAGTAAGAATTCTTCATTACACTGAAGAGAGGACCAGCATCTACTATGCTGCCATGGACAGGCTCCAACAACAGGCTGTTAGCAACTGTAGTTGTGTTTCCAGGGGCATTGGGCCAATGGTAGTATCTCAATCAGTGTAGTTAGGAGACATCAGGGAAAAAAATTAAAACACTATCACTGCTTAGAAAGTTCAACAAAGCATGTAAAAATCTTTACCTTAAATTAGACATCAGTTTTCTCACTGTTTCCTTGACAAACGTATTTTGAAAAGACTCTGTCATAGAAGAAGCGACTTTACTATTGTCATTTACAGAGACCCTTGCTTTGCGTCCAGAACTTGCATTTAAGTCTTCTACTGTCACCCTGGGCAAAAATAAGCAGGGGCTTATTACTTCAAAGTAGGAATCACAGTAGATACTCATATATTCAGAAACATTAATATACAACAAATGAAAGTAAAGAAACAAATCTAATGATGAAAATGACCATTTGTGTAGTTCTATAAAATCAATTCTCAATTAAAAGAATTATTATTTATCCCTGACATATCTTGTTTCCAAGATTTTTAGGTGGCCACAATTAAACAGAATTGATGATAATTTATTCTGAACAACAGTAATCATGTACCACTTGTCTCTTACTTGCGAAAGCTTTCAAACTAAATTTCTATTTTAGCCTGGGGGAAAGTGTACAGAAATAAAACAAGAGAAGGGGGACAAAGTCAGTTTAATGTCAAGATCCGGAGGAAGAAGAGTACTCCAGGTGAAGTGTAGTGATTGTGGGGTGATGAGGTGAGACAGTTCAAAGGAGAGAGGTGGAGTGAGTGAGGACATGAGGTAGAGAGGTCAAGCTACAGGGCCCTGTGGCCCAGGGGAGAGAACTGGAGTTTATTCTAAGTAGACCAAGTACTGCCAGTGGAGGGCTTCATGCATGGGAGTGAGGTGATCTGAAACACACTTTAAAAGGATAACCAGAATCTATCTATATGGGATCAAACTGACAACAGTAACTCAATCGATAGGAACCTTAGGGGGCAGTAAATTTGAACTGAAGAAAAAATTCAAGCCTCAAGTTGCAATTCTGAAGGATTCTATGGGGAACATATTAAATGATGCAGGAAGCATCAAGAGAAGATGCAAGGAATACATAGAGTCACTGTACCAAAAAGAATTGATCTATGTTTAACCATTTCAGGAAGGAGCATAAGATCAGGAACCAATGGTACTGACGGAAGAAGTCCAAGCTGCAGTGAAGGCATTGGCTAAAAACAAGGCTCCAGGAATTGATGGAATACCAATTGAGATGTTTCAACAAATGGAGGCAATGCTGGAAATGGTCACTCGTCTATGGCAAGAAATTTGGAAGACAGCTACCTGGCCAACCAACTGGAAGAGATCCATATTTGTGCCCATTCTAAAGAAAAGTGATCCAATAGAATGTGGAAATTATCGAACAACACCATTAATATCACATGCAAGTAAAATTATGCTGAACATAATTCCAAAACGGTTGCAGCAGTACATCGACAGGGAACTGCCAGAAATTCAAGCCAGATTCAGAAAAGGATGTGGAATGAGGGATATCATTGCTGATGTCACGTAGATCTTGGCTGAAAGTAGAGAATACCAGAAAGATGTTTACCTGTGTTTTATTCAGTATGCAAAGGCATTCGACTGCGTGGATCATAAAAAATTATGGATAACACTGCGAAGAATGGGAATTCCAGAATGCTTACTTGTGCTCACGTGAAACCTGTACTTAGACCAACGGCAAGTGGTTTGAACACAAGAGGATACTGTGTGGTTTAAAGTCAGGAAAGGTGTGTGTCAGGGTTGTATCCTTTCACCATACTTATTCAATCTGTATGATGAATAAATAATCCAAGAAGCTGGACTATAGAGAGAAGAATGTGGCATCAGGATTAGAGGAAGATTCATTAACAACCTGATACGCAGATGATACAACAATGCTTGCTGAAAGCACTGATGAAGATCAAGACTACAGCCTTCAGTATGGATTACACTTCAATATAAAGAAAGCAAATATCCTCACAACTGGACTAATAAGCAACATCATGATAAACGGAAAAAAGACTGAAGTTGTCAAAGATTTCATTTTACTTAGATTCACAATCAACACCCATGGAAGCAGTAGTTAAGAAATAAAGTGACATATTGCATTGGGCAAACGTGCTGCAAAAGACCTCTTTAACGTGTTCAAAAGCAAAGATGTCACTATGAAGAGTAGTGTTTTCAATCACCTCATATGCATGTGAAAGCTGGACAATGAATACAGAAGCCTGAAGAAGAACCGATGCCATTGAATTACAATGTTCCCTAAGAATATTGAATATATCGTGGACTGCCAGAAGAATGAACAGATCTGTCTTGGAAGAAGTACAGCCAGAATGCTCCTTAGAAGCAAGGATGGTGAGACTACATCTCATGTACTTTGGACATGTTATCAAGACGGACCAGTCCCTGGAGAAGGACATCATGCTTGATAAAGTAGAGGGTCAGTGAAAAAGAGAAAGATCCTCAAAGTGACGGATTGACACAATGGCTGCAACAATGGGCTCCAACATAGTAAGGATTGTAAGGATGGCACTGGAACAGGCAGTGTTTTGTTCTGTTGTACATGGATGGGGTCGCTATGAGTTGAAACCAACTTGACGGCACCTAACAACAATAACAATATTGGGTATCTAAAATATTCAAATGATTTTATTTTAAACATGGCAAAAGTCTCATGTCAAGAAAACTCTAGTGGTCAATGATTATTATAATTACTTACATGTATGACAGTGAGATAACGAGTCACAGAGGAAAGTCAGTTTGATTTCACAGTCACACCTTATAACTGTGACATTTTCTGTTCTTTGACAATACAGTAATTTGAATTACTTATATGCTTTGACTAGGAAGTTAAACCTGCTCCATTTCATTATCCCAAAATCCTTACAAAGGGAAATGAAAACATTTGGAGAAAAAGGTAAGAAATCTAGTACATTCTATTGTTGCCTGTCTCCTTTGTAAAATTTGGTTCCATTCTTATCTTTGTTACTGTTATTTTCCTTTTTCTTGTATTTAAACATTGATAATTATTTTTCAACAGTATAATTACAGTCATTTGGAATTTGTATAATTGCGGTGCACTGACCTTTTCAAGTTAGGCAATGAAGAGTTTCTCTTTATTTCTGGAGGAACATTGCACAGCTCCTGTTTTTCTTCAAAAGAACATAGACAAAATGAAGACAATAATGTTTTGATGATCAGAAATAAACTGAACCAAAAGAAGAGCCAGCAGTTCATTAACTATGTGTACATAATTTGTCTCTGTATTCAAACATCAGTTTGTAAAATTGTACCAATATATTCTGAAGAAAACTTCAACTTCTTGGAAAGTGTATATAGTATATAGAATAATCCAATAGTCTCTGTAACTGAATTTTTTTTTAATTAATGTTTATCACCTGCTATTGGTGTGCTCAGGACTCATATTTTCTGCTCTCACCTGCCTCTGCCCAGACAACCATCTATCTTTCCCCTAGTATCTCATCCACTTCTATACTTCTATTTTGTGTTTGTATTCTGACATACTGACAGGTACCAATGAAAAATGTGTCTCCAGTTGAGCACTGAACTTTAAAGGAAGAAGAAACCTGAAGTCAACCAGTCAGTCCTCTTGCTCAGTGAACCTCAGACTTGTAGATTCAGAGAGGTTAATAATTTGTATAAGGTCACACAGAGAAGCAGAAATTCTTTGCTCACCATTGATTGGCTATAAGAATGTCTTGGGGGCACAATAAAAGCAATGAACCAAAGTGTCTTTCTTCCATCTATCTCTAGAATTCTTTGTGACATCTTATTCCATCAAGCAAAATTTTGCCAACAAATTTAGGTCCACTGAAGGCCATGTGGAACACGATAGCAATAAGGAACATTTTAGATGGTGGGTAAATAGTTGAGGAACTGCCTGACTCCTTAAGGAAAATTTAAAAAAAAAAAAAAAACAATGGACGGAGAGAGGCTTTCCAAGCACACTGTAGGCACCATTAGTTCTACTCACTGACATGCATATAACATGAAATTTTTTACACAGTTGTCAACTAATCTGTAATTACAGTCATTTGAAAATATTTCACAATTTGTTTCTGTCAAACTCATACTTGAAGGCACAGTAATAGTTTGAAAGTTCTATAAAAAACTGGCTTTACAATTAAGAAACCTTTACAAAAGCAATCCTGGTTGTGGAATTGCAAATTATCTTAATTAAGATGAAAAAAAAAATAAGAGTGTGATTTCTTAGGGACCTTACTAATGGGCTCAGCTGCAAATGAATAGCTGATTAGGTTACCTAAGCAACAAAGTACGAAGGAAGACGAGAACACAAAACGGCGGCATGGACCCATAAAAAAAGGATTGGGCATGATGAAGCCAAAAGGAGCTGAGACTTGCTAGAAAGAATAAGAAAGGCTTTAAAACATTTCAAGAACATGACAGAGAAAACAACGGGCTTGTTGCTTGTGCTGATGGAATAATATTAAAATAAAAAAGTGAATGGCATTATATAATAAAATAATTATAATAGTAACAATGAATGGACACTAAGAAAACGAAATTTTCTGAGTCCAGTCTGTTTCTGGTTTCTCTACTCAGGAGACTATGCTTAGATTGAATATTATAAGATGGTAACTTTATGTTTTAAATAAGTTCAAGTCTCACCTCAGATAAATTCCATCCCATGGATGTGAAGGAACCAATAAGTGGGTTTTTTGGATTACTCTTAGTGATCTCAGAGGAATCATGAAAAGCAGGAAAGGGACTAAAAGACTGAAAACGGGATAACATTGTAATTTTCAAAATATACTCTGAAAATTACAGACCTGATATCAGTCCTCAGCAAAATTCTAATAGAACTCAGTGCTAAGGGTGGCATAACTCTACTGTCAGGATTTCAGGCAGGGTGGTAGTGCTGGTGGCACTATTTTCAGGCAGAAGTATTTTTCTCCCCCTTCAACACACATGAGGTTGGCAGCTCACCCTCTACCCACTCCTTTTCTCACTTCTGTAAGAACAGACTCAATTTTTTAAAATCCAAATTATTGACAAACTTCTGATTTATATCTCAGGCTGTCACGTAAGCCTTATTGAAGACCCCACAAACATTACAGCTAATGTAAGTACACTGAGATCTGTTTTTTACCTTTGTTTATAAGAGGAACTTCCTTTTCTTCTTGTTTCAGTGCAATTTCAGTGTCTCTTTTATCTAAAATCTGAAAAACAAGCTTTTTATTTAAAGCTGCAGAAAAACATAAGACCTATTATAAGGTGGAAAAAAGACCTTGAACATCAGTGTCCACCTAAGAAAGATCACAGTGTTGCCAGCAGTAATGTTTCCATATACATAAGAAAAGAAAGAATTGTGGAGGTTGTAGAAAATTATATTTGGCATACATCTCAAGAATGATTGTCATTGTAATTGTCATATTTACTTCTTTAAAATTTTAAAGGACTTTACATTTATACCAACATTTGTAAAAATATTTAAAAAATTGTATCTTATATGGATGTAGCAGTGTCTCCAATAATTGAGTCAAGTATTATTTGCTTCACCAGGAGCAATCATCAAGTCTCAGGTGTTTTGACGAGGCTTATCACACCCCTGGTTGCTGCACAGCAGACACAGTATGCACTCAACATTGGTGCAATTAATCTTTTGGTGGACTTTGGGTACTGGGGCCTCAGGTAACAAAGCAAGATGGTTAAGAATATGGGGATGAGGGACTTCCGGCAAGATGGCGCTCTAGGCAGAAACACCACGCAGTCCCTCCACAACAAAGATCCGAAAAACTAAGCCAAACAGAGAATCAACAATCCTGAAACCCTAGAACATCAAATGAAGAGATAAAGAACTCAGCC